TTCCAGGGAACTTCCAAGATATATCATTCTACAGTATATATTTTTTCATATATCCCAATCCATTCGAGTCATGAATGATGGAAGTTCTTCCCACTACATGTTTTTCAATCCCCAAAAAACTTGATGGACAGATCTAAAAATAAATCTGAAAATGTATTCAACTATCATTTTCAATTTTACAAAAATTGAAAGTTTGTTGCTGCAAGCCTTTAATTCGAAATTGGAATTCATCCCTGGCCTTTCCAAAGTGATGGTCATCTGGGGACATCTATTAAAAATGGGAATTTAATGCGACACATGAAATGAAGTACTTCACGTTTTCGTAACATGAGAACTTTGACTATCCGGAGAAACAAGAGATTCCATCTGTGCAGAATTGGATTATATGCAGCGCAGACCTTTGTGCCAAAGATTATTTTGGCAAGACATCCGCATCACATTGAGATGCTTCTCCTAATGTACTTAGCGTGGAATGAATGTATCATCACGCTTCTCTGCATCACATCAGGATTTCATTAAACCCGAAAAATGTATTACTGTATTTCTTTAAATGTTTTTTACTGACGGGTTCAGATCTTTTTGTCCGTTTTAACCGAAATTTACGTCCAAAAGAATTAAATTGATAGCTTTTCATTCATTGAAATTCGAACAGATGGGGATGAGAATAACTTTTAATCCAATCCTGGACCCTCGAATGTTAACCAATCGTGAGCTAGCTTTCAAAAAAAGAGAGACAAATCCTCGTGCTTCATTCTTGGGGTCATACAACTTGGCTCGATATGTTCCCAAAAAATTCACTACATTTGTTGCAGAAATAAATTCATTCATCTATATTTAGAAACAAGGCTTTTGAAGTCACTGTTTGCACCAAAAGCTTGTGCATCAGTGAGATAACAATCGGGCATGAAGGTTTTCCAGATTCTTATCACCAAAGAAAAGTTAGGCTTAGAAACGTGAAAATATCTCAAGATTCGTGAATTGGATCAATTTTTATGTAATCAGAGAAAAGTTGAAGAGCATCTTCAGCTTCAATTTAAAATGTTGTGGAATTTTCTATGTGTAAATTTCGCGGAGTTATTTGCTTCGGAAGTTTGCGCGTTGGGAATTGCACCATAGGCAAAGCATATTTTCTTTGTTGATTTTATTTATTTTTGAAAGCAGGTTTTTATTGCACAATGCGAGATTGTATTTGCTGATTGTGTGTCTGATTGTTGTCTTCATGAAACCTGTGATAAGAGACAATAATAGAGTCCTCTTTTAACATCCAAGGAGTGAGGATGCTCCAGCTTCTCTTATTTTCTGCAGCCATAATGTAGTTTTGTATTTTTTTAAATTAAATTCCCTTGGAGAGAGTGAGGATGCTCCAGCTTCTCTTATTTTCTGCAGCCATAATGTAGTTTTGTATTTTTTAAAATTAAATTCCCTTGGAGGCTGGGTAACTGCCTCAGCACTCAGATGTCTCTTGCATCTGGAATTTTTTCAATGCAGCTTAAAATCTGCAACATACATTATACGTATTATTACTTCCCCAGAGATTTTCAACCACATCCATCAAGGGGTTGCGTTCGAAAAAGCTTCCTTTTATCAGTAATTCTCTTCTTGCGTGGAAGTGCACGTCACATATTTCCGAAAATTCCCAACGAAATATTGCCCAGGACACCAAGGGATATGCTCATAGTTTTTTTTTCCGACAGCTTCTCAAATTTTCCAGATTTTTATGATCGAGAAATCGCCTGGGGAGTCATAAAAAAGAACACATGTGCCCATATCTACAGGAAATCATTTCCCGCGCACTTCGCGAGGTCGGAATTGTTTTCTCGTGCTCCATCAGAAGAAATTCGATCATTTTTTCCATCAAGCAAGAAGTCGACGGAAATGGATACAGGGATGCCTCAAGTCACAAAAATATTTCCTGATGAAAAACAACGAACGGGCTTCCGTAGAGAAAATCATATTGTACGCATTGTGTGGGGACGAAAGAGGATCATACGCATGAGAAAATTGCTTCGTATTTTATGCAAATTTGGTGGAATATTACAATCCACCATATTTTTAAGAAAGTTATTATTTCGTATTTGAGATTGCACATTATATCCGAATGAAAAAATTATTGAAATGAAAACCTCGCAAAAGAGTAAATGACTTCTGCCAAATTGTTATATCATGGTTCGCAAAAGAAAAATCGCAAGGAATTAAAGAAATCCCACGTAATTTTCGGAACTTTGCACAGTTATTGATCGAGGGCTTTCTGCGAAATTGTCTACGTCTTGCGTGTGTGTGTATGTGTGTGTGTGGAACGTGGGATTAAGCAGGGTTACCATCAAGTAGAGACACCAGACGAACCCAGAAGAGAGAAATAAACCCCTCTACACAAGACTATAAAGTATATACCCTCACCCAAACGGAGCACGGGAAATCATCGTCATTGAGTTGCTGCTGCTGCTGCTGTTGTTGTTGTTGTTGAGAAAGGGACAATGTCGCGGTACTGCGACACTTGTCAGCCAGCACGTGTGTCGGAATAAGAATGTCCGCCACCAGCCGATCCGTCGGATTAGTCGCCGCATTGCCAGTAGTCGTCGTAGTTGCCGCTGCAGCCGCCGCGGCGGTCGTCACAGCTGCGGCAGTCGAGGACGCCGCCGTTGAACCTTTATTTTTCGTCGGCGATCGGTCGTAGAGTAATAAGTGAATCAGCATTCCTCGTCGGATCGGGGCGTCGAACGAAGAATTCCATTCCGGGAACATGGGACGCCCCCGTTGGACGAGTTTCAGGCTGTTTTTGGTGCTGCCGCCACCGGGCTTCTGTTTATCGCCCGAAGTCGTGACTGCGGATGGTTCTTTGAGAGTGACAACGCAGTAGGGGTCTCGGAGTTGTTGTTGCGGGTAATCGACGTCGTTTGGAGCAGGTGTCGAATTTTTCGGTGTCGATTTATTGGCTGGATGCTGGTCCGGTTCGACGCGAACTTCGACTTGCATCAGCTTGACGCGGACGAATCTCGGGGTCGTGGAGTCATTTGGAGAGGGTTGCTGGGCTTGTATTTGTTGCTGCTCCTTCAAAAAAAAAAAAAGCGTGACATGATTAAATCCAAAATGCATGAAAATAACACAATTATGCCTGTGACCTAATTCTTAGAGTGCTCTGGATTAGGCAAGTGTGCTGCCAACAGCGTAAAGTAGTTTTTTTTCCACCTGATGACTTCGAATAATTATTGGTATCATCAGCGGGGCGAAAAATGCGTGAGTTTTCGCAGTTGAACACGCCCACTGATGCTTTCAAATTAGGCGTGCTGATTGTGAAGTATAAGTACAATTCATGACACAGCAGCCCATATGATTTTCTGATCTGAGACGTTCTCCGGATTTTAGAGCAATCTTAAAGTTGCTGCACTATTATGAAACAAAAACTTTCCAGTTACGTCAGCGATATTTCACCAATGTCAAATAGTGTGGAAAATTTATCAGGCGAGCTAAGAAAAAATGGTCTTGTTTTGCCCATTATCTTATTTGAATTTTGCTAATGCTTACAACGCAATTTTAAAAAATCAAATTTTTAGCTTGCCTGACAGATTTTGGCACCCGCAGACAACAGTGGGAAATTGTGGCTGTGCAACAGAGAAGTTTTTACTTATCATTATGCAGTAAACTGAAAGAGGTGTTTTTAAAAATCCGAAAAAAATCATAAACCTTAGAGAACATCATGAACTATTCCAAGTTTTTTGTTGTTGAGTGAATCATACTCACAGTAGAAATATCAGAAGCTATGTCCAACTCGGACAACCCTCGTATTTACGCAGAAACGTACTCCGTTAATTCTTTTTTTTTCCTGTCCAAAAAGTTATGACACAGTGAAACTCAAAAGGATAATAATTACATGGAATCATTTTCGAAACGCGTTTGATGTGACAGATGCTTTGAAAGCAGTATTCTCATATGTTCAGTATTATATAGAATCACTATAAAGCTTTCCGTTCAGTACTAGTATGGCATAATAACGAAGAAGTCAGAATCCACGCACAACTGAGGCTCATGTATTCACGCAGAAACCTATTTTAGTTGCAGCTTTTGCTCTTATATGCATGCAAAATTTGGAACACTGAGTGCAATCAGTTGATGTGCCTTCCATTCGCTGTGGAATATAATCGACGGGGTCTGCATGCATATCCGCAATTCAACTGCAGATATTTACGCAGAAATGCATCCAGCATCATATACAATACAGATTTTGCCTTTTTCAATGATCACGGATACACCGTTGCAAGAGAACTTTTCTTGGGATATCGAAATTCCCTTGCTTTGCGTACGTTTCATCTCGGCAAATAGAAATCCAGCTTTGAAGTTTCGTATCGAAAATAAATCTTAGCTATATTTTGGAAGGTGCATCGAAGAGGACACATCAATGACATCATCGACTGGTGAAATTACTCTCCTTATATTCAAACACGTTTTATTTAATTGAATGAAATCAGTGTATTTTTTGTCTTCATCCAACGACACTACTTTTATTATGGGAATCAGTAGTGAGATATTTATGATCAATTTTTTTTAAAGTTTTCAGTTCTCTAAATTCTCCGGTTTCATTTCCGCAAAATGAAATCCTGATTCGAATTTCAAAAAGTATTTTTGGCTCATTTAGGAGTTCGTTCATCTGTACGCAGAGACAGATGAAATTTAAAACCTGCCGGTTTACTATTTAATTCTTTCATTCAAATCGATCATCGATCGACATTCAAAAATAATTTTAGCGACTCATCAAATTGTACTTTTGATTCAAATTCCTTCAAGATAAATCGGATGTCGGAGAACGCTTTAGGGGACATGTTATAACCACATGCAAACCAGAGAAAATTCGTCGTCGTTGAATTCAATTTACTTTAGAGAAATATTTTTTCATACAGCATTTTTTCTGGTCTTTTTCTGTTACAATCGATTATTTGTGGATTTTTCGGATGGAAGAAGTTGCATCTTGGGTTCCCTGAGCAAATGTATTGGAACTTGTAGAAGGGTTATCCTATTGCTGAAATTAATAATTGCTGGGTCACCTGCTACTTATATTTGCTTACAGCCGATTGATTTTTTACTAATATAGAACATACTTCAACAAAAATCGCAGCGTCAGGCATAAAAGAAAATGAACTTTGCGAATAAGGCTGTCGATTGCTGAACATCACAGAAGCGGGATTGAAGAAAAGAATGATCATGAATGAAGCCCTGCAAATGATCACGACGTTCAAGTCTATTTCTGGAAGCTTCATCAACTAAATCAAACATCCCATGCCAAATTTTGCTCATCAAAATCCGAATCCCTCGCGCATGGCATGGGATAATCGGATCAAAGTCCATTACGTAATCCTGATCATAGGCAAACAAATTTAACCCGTAGTCCAAGTTCTCGTGAACTGGGGTGAGAATGTGAACGGATCGTTGGGCAAGTTTATAATGATGATCTATTAAAAGCCCTTTGCTTGAATGAATCTATTCGAATTATGCTCCGCAGATTGACGGAAATTCGAAATAATTCAGAGTTGAATTCGCACCTAGGAAATCTGATCAATTACCGCTTGCTCAAATTTAGCAAAACTCATGCGATTTTGATGCGGTCATCAAAATGTGGTTGCTCATCTTAGTCGAGCAGTGTTCACTCAATTATCCAATTGACCCTCCGAAATAGCAAGAAAACTGAGATGCGACCTCTATACTCGAAAGGGGTAATAGCAGTATAAAGACAGTCATCGAAGTCTTCCTCTATTAAGGGTTGAATGCCCCGAAACCAGAGGGTTACGTAAAGTACCTTGGCACAGTTTTTACGTAAAATATTTAGTCTATAAGAAAATTAGAAGGTTTTTCAACTTATATACTGTTACAATGCCACATTTTTTCCTCCAGCAAAGTGTCTTATGCGGTGTGTACTGCACAGCACTAAATTTTCTTTTATATAATATCAGAGGACCAGCCCTCGAAGAACTGGTAGCTTTCAATGATTTCTCAAAGATTCTCCCTACATTGTTTAATAAATTAAAAAATCATGTGAAAACAATATGGATGCCTCGTGCTTTAATTTGTGCTCAATAATTGCCTTATGCTGTGATTTGTAATTATACAGTTTTTTCTTTTCAAGTGAAAAATGATGGCTATACTTGCGCATTTTTATGTACTGTATTTACTTGAGTATCACGCGCCCTCAAGTAAGGCGCGCACATGGGTTTTTCAGTTGAAAATTTTGCAAAAATAGTATCCCCAAGTGAGACGCGCACCCCAATTTTTAGTGAATCTAAAACCATGAAATTTCAAAACTACAAATAAAAAATTTTACTTTAGGCATGAATTGAACAAAAATCTAATCAATTTTCAACTTTTTCAGTACAAAAATGTTTTCTTCTTATATTTGTTCCAAATTTCTCCATTATACTTAAGTATAATACACACATAACTTCCTAAAACTACTTGAAATTTTTTTACCTGCTTATCTCGCACGTCGCACCCCCTTTTTTTCCTTCTGAAATTTTGGAAAAAAGGTGCGTGTGGTACTTGAGTAAATACGGTACTTGTACTGTGATATAGTTTCTTTTAAAATACCAATATAGTGAATGAATGTTTTTCATTAGAATAGGAAGAACACATTTTACTTTCATTTATGCTCAAGTAATTGCCTTCTGCTATGATATTTATTCAACATCATCTAAAAAAAAGAAGGGCAACTCATGCACTTGTACTTACTGCAATGAATTTTCTTATAATACCCGTACAATAAATTATTGTTTTTCCTTCTGATAACAGTACAGGACTGCTTTTGGAGGGTTTTGTGGGGGTAGGGGGGGGGGTGTGGAAAATATATTTTAAACCTTTTGAATGCTGACAAGCGACAAATAAAGCTTGTATATTGATCAATAAATCAATATGTGGAAAATATATATTAAACCTTTTGAATGCTGACAAGCGACAAATAAAGCTTGTATATTGATCAATAAATCAATATTTTCTCTTTCCCACCCAAATTTGTGGACCCGTCTAAAACCACATAAAAACAGTTTGAAGTTGCAGCCACTTACCTTGTTGCTGGACTTGCTAGAAAAAAGTGTAAGAGACGATGTTTCTGCTGATGACCCGGCTGAAAACATGGTCGAAACTATTTGAAACTATCCGGGGACGATTATGAACCGAAATGAGTTCTCACATATTTTCATTCATTTGAACAGGTTCACACGCGTCAGCGTTTCTGATAAGCACTCTTCTAAAAATCCAGGAGGAGAAAGATCAACACAATTTATCTCATGGCGCTCGTCGAATAAATCTCCAATGAATAGTGGTCTCTGTTTTGAGGGTAAATGAAACAGACGGATCTATTTTATGGCCATCTGAAGATAAATGATTGTTCTATTGCTCTATTTACGAATTTTAGCATGAAAATATCTACAAATTATACACCATACTGCCTTTCAACTCTGTCCTTTGTCTTTACACAACATTACATTAGCTCAAGTGATTCAAACGCGTCGAGGAAAAAAAGGTCGACGATCAATAAATCTTTTCTCATTTGCGTAAGCACTAGTTCGGAACTTCGGGTGTATTACAATAACTGTATAACAATAGCTTTCTTAGAACTAAAATATGGCAGTTGATCCAAATAGAGTATTTTTTAAGCAGTGAAGTGTTGTAGTACTGTAGACAATTCAATTTCACCATATGTTTTGTAGGTTAACTTTGCGGTTTGAAAAAATGAGCATCACAGTTGACATATATAGAGTACAGTAAATGCAAACGCAGAAATATATTTTCAAAATTATCTTGAGCATGTGATTCTCATTAGAAAAACCTAAGGATAACCCTTAAAAATATGCTTTAATCTATCCGATTTTGCTTTTTTTCATTCAGAGCAGGAACATTTTTGTGACCTACGTGAGTGGGTACTAAATGAAGGCTTCCATCAATAACACAATAATAAATGGAGGGAGATTTTTTCCGAGAACATTTTCGGCACTTTGGGAAGATGGCAATAAGTCAGTGGGTATTAAATTGAGGTTTGATTGACTGAACATAGTTTTTTTTATGTGAGGCATGAAAAATTGGCTTTTTTTTTACAAAAAACCCTATACTTGTAACAAAAATTAATACTTGAGGACATAAACGAAGTAATGATGCATATGCCTTCACTGCAACGATTAGTCATCTAATTAAACGAACCCATACAGTATTCAGATTGGTTGAGAAGAAACAAGGCTGCCTTACACTTAAATGCTATAGCCTCTGTTTTCAAATTAAAATTTGAAATATTTCCGAACTGTCAGTAAGTCACTTCATTCCAATTGGAAAAACATTTTCAACCAATATTGTCCGTTATGTTCGATTAACTTTGCACCAGCCTTGGGTAATTATATTTAAGATAATTTTATGGATGCTTCAATTCAAAACTAGTGCATATTTTTTTTGCTTCGATTTAAGAACTTCGAAATGTCCTCTTTGAAAAAAGTTTTCTTTGGTATGAATGTTAAATGCAAGAAAATCGACAGCGGTTAAGAGATCAAAAACATATGAGGGGTGTATCTGTATACTCACACCCCTAAAGCATAACGGAAGCAGAATATTAATCATACAAATGTCAAATATTTGAAAACAATGCTGAGTGCTTCAATCCCGCGAAAAATAAAATTTGACTGTCAATTGTCAACCACAAAATAAAAAAAAAGATTTTTGACGGTAGAAAATGTTTCTCAAACAAAATATTAATTTTGATCCATTGAAAGAACAGAGAGCAAAGGAAGAAAAAAAGCGCATTAAAATGTCTTACTATCAGCGGTGTTCCACATTTTCTAAAACTCGTTATTCTCTCAACACATTTTCTCTTAAAAAACGCACATATTTATTTTTTTAGAAATGTTTTTTTTTTGCACACCGTAGAATAATACACGATCGAAATGTCGACGAATTAATGGAAGTGCTTCACCAATAACAACAACAACAACAAGAAAAAAAATATACCCGGAATCTAAACCACTAAGTAATCCGGATCTATAACCGGGTTTTATGTGCACGTCCGCCTCGTCAGCCAGCCGGAACAAGACTGATGCGGCTCGCGCTTCACCCAGATCAAGTCCCAGCAGCAGCAGCAACACTGCTGCAGCCCTCACTACAGCAGCAACATCAACAGCAGCAGCAGCAGCAGCAGCAGTGCCAGTGGCAGCGATAGCAGCTCCTCCAGCGGAAATCTTCAGCACCATGATGAGTCTCGCTCTGCAGCCCGCTCAGCCATGGTTTTGTCCAGCGCGGGCAACGGATGGGCGGGCTGATGCGGGTGTAGGATGAAGTATGAATTGTTGAACTCAGATTTTCGACATCTGAGCGCAACCCAACTGGGCGCCGCGCAATAATGAGAGAGTAATGAGTTCAGTCAAAGGACGAGTAGTAGGCATTATTTGGTAGACTTTTTTTTTTAAATTTCATCACCTTTTTTTTTACTTTAGAGAAATAACACAGTAAAAGCATGAAGAGGCAACACACAACACACTACTTAACCCTTCAGCAGTATAGTGGGGGAAGGTTCGTTTTGATCACATGCAGAATTGTGATGGCAGTGCATTTTGGTTTCACTGAAAGTCACCAAAAGAGCACCAAGCAGAGTGACCTAAGCCAGGAAAAATTTGGATAAGGTGAGAGAGAAAAATTGGCAATGTCCTGCAGACCCCCAAGTGAATCCTATGGCTGAAGGGGGGAAAATCTGAACTTTTTGTTCTTCCCAAAACTTTCTTGCACAGATAGAAAAATATGTGAATATTTCCTGACTTGTGGTATAGTTGCTGGTACAATATTATTATTCATTTTATTTGAAAGTGTATGGTGATCAATTGCTGCAAAAAAACCTGGCACCTCTGCTGAAGAGTTATTTAGAACCCCTTGAAAATTTAGAAAATGTGCTTGAATAAAGAGGATATTATAAGATAACGACGACACTCAGCAAATTCAGATTTTTCTGATGCAGATCAACCTTTGAAGTTTAATCTCCGGTTTTCTTGGTTATAGAAATAGCCAGTATTTTTATTGACGGATACATGAAAAAATAAAAAAAAGGTAAAACTGGTAAAGTTGGCAGGAAGCATGGAGAAAAGAGTGAATTTGACCAATTAGTCACTTGCATGTTTAAGTTTTGGGATAATAATTATTAAGTTTCTCTTTCTTAGCTCCAAAAAATAATAGCTTAAAGGCCTATGAATAAATAAATTCTACGAGATTGAGGAGAAAGTTTAGCAATAACATAGAACATTTTTGACAACAAAAATCTAACACAGATGCTTTTATTCAAGCAATCTGTGATCTTCTATTGACATTTTAGCTCTGTTGTGATACTTGTGAATGGTAAAAATATTTTAAAATGTCTCCCTCTCATTCAAAGGTAAGGAGACAAATTTGGATACAAATCTTTATTTACAATAAATTCAAAGGTCACAAAAATATGATTGTTCCAGTAATTCTTGAAAATTGGTGTGAAGAAGTTTTTACAGCTGTTGTCTTACAAGAAAGATTTCATTACTCATAGGCAAGTCTCCCTGGTATTTTCAATATCTAAGAAGATAACTAGAATCTTTTAGACTGATTTAATTTTAGATTTTCTTTCCCCTTTTGTTACTCCTAGGAGGAATAAAGTCAATTCTGCAATATATTTCTAGATTTGCATTTATTCCTTCATGAACAGATTCTGGGCATATTTGGTGATCCTTACAATGGACTCTGATGCTTCTTCCAATAAAGGGGCTCTTTCACCACTGAATTGGGGAAAAAGAAACAAGGCTTTTTATCAATTTGGGAGGACACCCCTAGACTCCCTAGAGTCAGAATATAGTTGAGTTATTGATATTCTAAGAAACCAGTCTTTCTCGGAAAAATGATTCTGAGGTTATTCAATATTTCGGCTGCATATAATATTTGCAATGATGATGCATTGGTGAAAAAATGGGAAGAGAAACAAGGCTGTGCTGGTGCACCACCATCCTACATTAATTAGCACATTTACTGCCTGGGGTAACCGGTATTCAGGTGGGGTTCAAGAAAGTTAGAACATTTCCATTATGGAAATCAGCACATTGACAGCATAGCATTGCATTAATGATATTTCTATGGAGGTCTGTGAAAATTTCTTTGTAAGGCTTCATTTTCCATTAAAAAAATTATATCATACACTTCAGCGCTAGCTTCATTCCCCATAAATTGCATGTTACTTTTTACATGAACCATGGAACACTTGACTAAAAGCTTGGAACTTAGCGATAGCAGCTCCTCCAGCGGAAATCTTCAGCACCATGATGAGTCTCGCTCTGCAGCCCGCTCAGCCATGGTTTTGTCCAGCGCGGGCAACGGATGGGCGGGCTGATGCGGGTGTAGGATGAAGTATGAATTGTTGAACTCAGATTTTCGACATCTGAGCGCAACCCAACTGGGCGCCGCACAATAATGAGAGAGTGATGAGTTCAGTCAAAGGACGGGTAGTAGGCATTATTTGGTAGACTTTTTTTTTAATTTCATCACCTTTTTTTAACTTAAAGGAAATAACACAGTAAAAGCATGAATAAGCAACACACAAATCACAACACACTACTTGACCCTTCAGCAGTATATCCCTTGTGCGGCAAAGTTGGACTATTTTTGCGAAATTTTGTGGTACCTCAGAGAGGTTTGGAAAAAAATGATAACAGGTGGTCAAGGGTGAAGTCCGGAAAAATCCCAATGCTTTTTTCTCTGAGCACAGAAAAATTTTGTGGGCAAAAAAAAATTCTCAGTTAGGCTACCAGATTTTTTTTTAGACTTTGCCTCAGCCCACCTGGAAGGGTTTTGGTGACCTTCCCAAAACTGAAAACGCGGGAGGATACAAAAATAATCCGACTCTGTCCTGCTATGGGAAAGAACCCTCCGCCATCCGAGGGATATTGGGGGAAGTTTTGTTTTGATCACATACAGCATTGTGATGGCTGTGCATTTTTGTTTCTCTGAAGTCACCAAAAGAGCACCAAGCAGAGTGACCTAAGCCAGGAAAAATTTGGATAAGGTGAGAGAGAAAAATTGGCAATTTCCTGTAGACACCCAAGTGAATCCTATGGCTGAAGGGGGAAAAATCTGAACTTTTTGTTCTTCCCAAAACTTTCTTGCACAGATAGAAAAATATGTGAATATTTCCTGACTTGTGGTATAGTTGCTGGTACAATATTATTATTAATTTTATTTGAAAGTGTGTGGTGAGCAATTGCTGCAAAAATACCTGCTGGCACCTCTGCTGAAGGGTTATTGAGAACCACAAAAAATGTGCAGAAATAAAGAATATATTTTAAGATAACGACGACACTCAAAAAATTCAGATTTTTCTGATGCAGACCAACCTTTGAAGATCTTCGGTTTTCTTAGTAGGCAAAATAGCCAGTTTTTTTTATGGGGGATACATGGAGGAGTACAAAAAGGTAAAACTGTTAAAGTTGATAGGAAGCATGGAGAAAAGAGTGAATTTGACCAACCAGTCACTTGCTTTTTTAAGTTTTGGATTATAATTATTAATTTTCTCTTTCTTAGCTCCAAAAAAAATAGCTTAAAGGCCTGTAATCCTTGTTTTTAGAAAGGATTGTGAGTCAAGTGCTACAAAATAATTCACTTTTATTTTGTACACCGGAACAACAAACAGAAACAAACACAAACACAAACTGGTGAGAGATATTCTAAGTTAAATCTTGAATAGAAATTTTAAGCCTATCTTCTGCT